GTCAAGTTACACCCCACTTATACTGTACGTGTCAAGTTACACCCTTATACTATACGTGTCAAGTTACACCCCACTTATACTGTATGTGTCAAGTTACACCCTTATACTATACATGTCAAGTTACACCCTTATACTGTACGTGTCAAGTTACACCCTTATACTGTATGTGTCAGGTTACACCCTTATACTATATGTGTCAAGTTACACCCCACTTATACTGTTCATGTCAAGTTATTCCCTTATACTATACTAGTCAAGTTACACCCTTATACTGTACTCGTCAAGTTACACCCCACTTATACTGTACGTGTCAAGTTACACCCTTATACTATACATGTCAAGTTACACCCCACTTATACTGTACGTGTCAAGTTACACCCCACTTATACTATACTAGTCAAGTCACACCCTTATACTGTACTCGTCAAGTTACACCCCACTTATACTGTACATGTCAAGTTACACCCCACTTATACTGTACTCGTCAAGTTACACCCCACTTATACTGTACGTGTCAGGTTACACCCCCCTTATACTATACTAGTCAAGTTACACCCTTATACTGTACTCGTCAAGTTACATCCCACTTATACTGTACATGTCAAGTTACACCCTTATACTATACGTGTCAAGTTACACCCCACTTATACTGTACGTGACAAGTTACACCCCACTTATACTGTACGTGTCAAGTTACACCCTTATACTATACGTGTCTAGTTACACCCCACTTATACTATACGTGTCAAGTTACACCCCACTTATACTGTACGTGACAAGTTACACCCCACTTATACTGTACGTGTCAAGTTACACCCTTATACTATACGTGTCAAGTTACACCCCACTTATACTATACGTGTCAAGTTACACCCCACTTATACTGTTCATGTCAAGTTACACCCTTATACTATACTAGTCAAGTTACACCCTTATACTGTATGTGTCAAGTTACACCCCACTTATACTGTATGTGTCAAGTTTCACCCTTATACTATACATGTCAAGTTACACCCCACTTATACTGTACGTGACAAGTTACACCCTTATAACGTGTAAAGAAGCACCCACTTATACTATACGTGTCAACTTACACCCTTATAACGTGTAAAGAAGCAACCACTTATACTATACGTGTCAAGTTACACCCCACTTATACTGTACGTGACAAGTTACACCCTTATAACGTGTAAAGAAGCACCCACTTATACTATACGTGTCAAGTTACACCCCACTTATACTGTACGTGACAAGTTACACCCTTATAACGGGTAAAGAAGCACCCACTTATACTATACGTGTCAAGTTACACCCCACTTATACTGTACATGTCAAGTTACACCCTTATACTGTAGGTGTCAAGTTACACCCCACTTATACTGTACGTGTCAAGTTACACAAAAAACTAAATTTCAGATAATCTGGCTTACAGGACCAAATCTGAATTAAAGATATTATGGAATAAAGGACTTGAAACTGAATTTAAGAAATATTGACTTAAAGGACCTAAAACTGAATTTTCTGGAATAAAGGACCTTAAACTGAATTTCTGTATTCTGAAATAAAGAACCTTAAACTGAATTTCTGTATTCTGGAATGAAGGACCTTAAAATGAATTTCTGTATTCTGGAATAAAGGACCTTAAACTGAATTTCTGTATTCTGGAATGAAGGACCTTAAACTGAATTTCTTTATTCTGGAATGAAGGACCTTAAACTGAATTTCTGTATTCTGAAATGAAGGACCTTAAAATGAATTTCTGTATTCTGGAATAAAGGACCTTAAACTGAATATCTGTATTCTGGAATGAAGGACCTTAAACTGAATTCCTGTATTCTGGAATAAAGAACCTTAAACTGAATTTCTGTATTCTGAAATGAAGGACCTTAAAATGAATTTCTGTATTCTGGATTAAAGGACCTTAAACTGAATTTCTGTATTCGGGAATAAAGGACCTTAAACTGAATTTCTGTATTCTGAAATGAAGGACCTTAAAATGAATTTCTGTATTCTGGATTAAAGGACCTTAAACTGAATTTCTGTATTCGGGAATAAAGGACCTTAAACTGAATTTCTGTATTCTGGAATAAAGGACCTTAAACTGAATATCTGTATTCTGGAATGAAGGACCTTAAACTGAATTTCTGTATTCTGAAATAAAGACCCTAAACTGAATTTCTGTATTCTGGAATGAAGGACCTTAAACTGAATTTCTGTATTCTGGAATAAAGAACCTTAAACTGAATTTCTGTATTCTGGAATAAAGAACCTTAAACTGAATTTCTGTATTCGGGAATAAAGGACCTTAAACTGAATTTCTGTATTCTGAAATAAAGAACCTTAAACTGAATTTCTGTATTCTGGAATAAAGAACCTTAAACTGAATTTCTGTATTCTGGAATAAAGAACCTTAAACTGAATTTCTGTATTCGGGAATAAAGGACCTTAAACTGAATTTCTGTATTCTGGAATAAATGACCTTAAACTGTATTTCTGTATTCTGGAATGAAGGACCTTAAACTGAATTTCTTTATTCTGGAATGAAGGACCTTAAACTGAATTTCTGTATTCTGAAATAAAGAACCTTAAACTGAATTTCTGTATTCTGGAATAAAGGGCCTTAAACTGAATTTCTGTGTTCTGGAATAAAGGACCTTAAAATGAATTTCTGTATTCTGGAATGAAGGACCTTAAACCGAATTTCTGTATTCTGGAATGAAGGACCTTAAACCGAATTTCTGTATTCTGGAATGAAGGACCTTAAACTGAATTTCTGTATTCTGGAATAAATGACCTTAAACTGTATTTCTGTATTCTGGAATGAAGGACCTTAAACTGAATTTCTGTATTCTGGAATAAAGGGCCTTAAACTGAATTTCTGTATTCTGGAATGAAGGACCTTAAAATGAATTTCTGTATTCTGGAATGAAGGACCTTAAACTGAATTTCAGATTTACTGGTCTATCATAGAGTAAAAGAATGTTTATTGGGGATGGACTTGATGACCCCACTATAAGACGCGGGTGTTACACCAGTTTGCACCAGACTCCTGCCTGTCACTTCATCACTTCACTCCATAAAAAATACTGGTGGGACTAGGGAAAGAATGAGGGACCATGTGTGTTAATCATAATTCTTACTGATCGACTTGCTTACAAAAATTACTGTTTAAAGAGACATCACGGTGAAGTGTATACTTTTTTGTCTTTTTTTTTCAAATACTGCATAAACATGTCCAGTGAGTCTCCTTATGGAAAGTAATGATCGGATTTGGCTGATATATGTATTCATAAAAATGAATGATTTTAAGATAATCATCAGGATTTCTACCTGTCAGACCAACGTTTTGTTCAGGGTTTCCCTCTACTAGCACATGTGCATAGCACACCATTTCATTGTAAACAAAATGACTTGCTGTGGGAAGGTAGTGAGAAAAAACCGTTTCCGGACGCGCGTCAGCTACGAAGCAAAAAGTTGCCAAATTGTCAAAAGATAGTGCATGGAGTACGTTACGGAATCATTATTGCAGGTGGGAAGTATTCAAAGGAGAAAATAAATGCCCTAGCAGTTAGTACGGTGCATGTATTCTTCCAGATAGCCAGTTAAAGCTGAAATGGAATCGACAGAAACTTAATGCTGTTTATGTTATGAATAAATATCTAAAACTATTAACCTCGCTTGTATCTGTGTCTGAGTTGGAAAACAGATGAACTTATTTTGTTATGTAAATGGGCATGTATCGGAGAGAGGTTACTTCGCGTTTCTATATACAGTCAGTAGTTTATGCGAAAGGAAGGGATAAGTGACTGGTTAGTCTGATTTTGCTATGAGGCCCTCAAAGGGATAACTGTTGTGATGGCCACAGCGTATTCTGTTCTCTACTCTGTCGGTACTCACGGTCAAATGAGATACATGCGCTATTAGATTTACATAATTTTTCAGTAAAGCGGTATGATTTAATTATATTGCTGAAGTAAACAACTATTTTTATACGCCCGTCAAATTGCACGAGAGTATTATTGGTTTGTCCGGCAATCTCCTCCTGCATTTTTCGACCGATCTCTTTGAAACTTGGTATACATTATAATCATGATATGAAGTTGTGTCTCCCGTAAAAGAATTTTGATTCGACAATTTTTGCAAAAGTTATTGCCCTTTGTTCATTTCAGTATTTGATTTTTTTTCCGGAGCTCTCCTCCTACATTTTTTGACAGATTTCTTTGAAACTTAGTATGCTAAATAATCATGATATGTTGTTGTGTTTCCTTGAATAGAATTTTGATTCGACGATTTTTGCAAAAGTGATTGTCCTTTGTTTATTTCAGTATTTGACTTTTAGCTCACCTGCCCAAAGGGCATGTGAGCTTATGCCATGGTGCGGCGTCCGTCGTTCGTCTGTCCGTCGTCCGTCTGTCCAGCGTCAACTTTTTACTTTAAACAACTTCTTCTCAGTAACCAAAAGGCTTAGGATGATGATATTTGGCTAGTAGCATGCTGGACTCAAGGGCTACCAAGTTTGTTCGAATAAAGGACCTTGACCCACTTTCAAGGTCACAGGGGTCAAATATGTTAAAATCTTCAAACAACTTCTTCTCAATAACCAAAAGGCCCAGGGTACTGATGTTGGGCCTGTAGCATGCTGGAATGAAGGACTACAAATTTGGTAAAATGAATGACCTTGACCAATTTTCAAGGTCACAGGGGTCGAATGTTGTAAAATCTTCAAACAACTTCTTCTCAATAACCAAAAGGCCAAGGAAATCAATATTAGGCCTGTAGCATGCTGGGATGAAGGTCTACCAAGTTTGTTCAAATGAATGACCTTGACCCACTTTCAATGGCACTGGGGTCAGATGTCTTTAAAATCTTCAAACGACTTCTTCTCAATAACCAAAAGGCCCAGTGTACTGATATTGGGCCTGTAGCATGCTGGGATGAAGGGTTACCAAGTTTGTTCAATTGAATGACCTTGACCCAGTTTCAAGGTCACTGGGGTCAGATGTCTTAAAATCTCATGTCAGCTAACCACTATTTGAATGATGCAGATCTTATTTCAATGTAAGAAAGTATATAACACTTTATGGCATTCGTCGGGCATATATTGTTCCGCCCCGCGGTACTCTTGTGTCAAAATGACAGTTCAGGATGAATAACTGAGGTGACTTGGAATGTATGATCATGCAACAACTTTTTCTCTATAAGTAATTAAATTTCGACTTCAGATAGAATCAAAATACGCATTGAAAATGGGGAAAAAAGTAATTTGTTTACGTTGTAAAAATGATGCGTGCTGCCGATAACTACGGCTTCTGTTTCGGACAAAAAGACCTAATTAAAGAACAGTTGTTTCAACATAAAAAGGGTCCATTTACAAGTATGCTTTAATCTATGTAAAGTATCGAAAACATATAATTATCAAGTATCTTAACACGTTCCATATCTGACACATATTCTACATGTACACGTAGTGGTTTTGCCAGAAATATGTATTGTGTGTGATGGCTAATATGACTTAAGTGTTAGCGTATGAAGACAGTGAAAGTGAGAAAGAGAGTATACATGAATATATATAAAAATCACAAATGTTTCTCTTTTTTATACTTGTCAATGCATATAAACACTTTATGAAAACATTTTGAAAGACATATTCGTCTCGAGAAAATTCCTTTTTACAGAAAGGTTTGTCCCATGGTTGAGGGAAGGTGTTTAGCCCCGTACCGTTTGTACCGTCACATTCCGGTAATAGATATTTCCTGGTGTCTTAACTATAAATAATGCTGAGTTGCCAACAAATATTTCTCCATTTAAATTCTGAATATTGGCATGTGTGCAATTAACTTCTGATGATGAATAATTACGGATTCAATAGGTTTCAACACTGACTTAGAAATCATATTACTTGGTTTCTTAGTGTGGTAAGAAGTTGCAGTTGCCTGACGGTTTCTTAGTGTGGTAAGAAGTTGCAGTTGCCTAACGGCCCCTCTTTGGGACTCTCTCTGGGGGCCCTTTGGAAACGTTGCATCTCGGTCAGACCACCTGTGTTTACTACCTAGTTTCAAAACCATCAGGTGACGTTATTAGCGCTATTTTTAACAGGGCTTTCCCGAACAATTCAAGTGGTCAAACTGCACATTTGGAACGGACTATGACTGGGGATAGCAAGTGGAAGAGCAAACAACACATACATTCATTAAAAAAAAATGGTTGTTCACGTGATGTCCCTTTAACCCTGCTTTCCATCTTAAAAAGCATTTCACTGAGAGATCCATATGTTGTTATGTTTTGTTTTGTTAGGATCACCATGCCAAGTCCATCACCTGTGTCAACATCTAAGGTGACAGCTCCAGGTAAGTGGAGGAGCAGCTTTTTTTTTAAATAATGTCTCCCCCATGTTTGCGTTGGGAAGACATTTTGTGCTGTCTGTTTGTCTATCATGTTTTAGTTTTAGAGAAACGTGCCCATATTAAATAAACTATTACAATGCCAACTTTTAAATTTTGGCATTCGATATGGCTACCATGCATGGTCTCTGATTGGCCAAGACAGAAATGGTTTTGACCCAAAGGTCAAGGTCCAATAGGTGAACATTTTTCAGAAACATCTTGTCCGAGCTGTTACTTTCAAACCATTAAAGATATCTTGATGAGACTTGCAGTATAACTGCATCACCTACAGATAATGTGCCATGCAGTGTCATTAGGTCAATGTTGTCTTTACCGCAAGGTCAAAGGTAAACGAAGTCTGATAGTTTCAAACATTTAAAGGTGTAGGCCAAGGTGATGCCAACGGTCCCTCACTTTGTCTAATTTTGCTTAAACTTAGTATGCAAGTATATGATGGTATTGTAAACTCTATCCAAGGATGACTCAAGGTCAAAGGTCAAATAAGTGCAAAGTTTTCAGGAATATCTTGTCTGGGCTGTAACTTTTAAACCGTTACAGGGGATATATGTTTTTGTTCACAAAAACAAATCTCTAGTTGACCTTGAACTTTTGACTTAGACTGTTAAGTTTTTCATAGGAAAACAGATTGCAAGTAGATGTTTACAGAATATCTGATTACAAAACAATGCACGTAGTGGACACATTCTCACTAACAGTTTTGTTGTAATAACAGCTATCTAGTTATCACCCCAAACACCTGAGAGATCTGGATTGAGCCAGTTCTGTTGTGACCGATTACAACAGTATCTAGTTAACACTCAAAACACCTGAGAGATCTGGATTGAGCCAGTTCTGTTGTGACCGGATTTGAATAACAAAAAAGATTATTTAATAGGCTAGGAGGTTTCATAGCTCTACCTCCTCCCCTGGCTCTACTGGAGCTGCTACAACTCTGTGTGTTTGTTAATAGCTCTACCTCCTTCCCTGGCTCTACTGGAGCTGCTACAACTCTGTGTGTTTGTTAATAGCTCTACCTCCTTCCCTGGCTCTACTGGAGCTGCTACAACTCTGTGTGTTTGTTAATAGCTCTACCTCCTTCCCTGGCTCTACTGGAGCTGCTACAACTCTGTGTGTTTGTTAATAGCTCTACCTCCTTCCCTGGCTCTACTGGAGCTGCTACAACTCTGTGTGTTTGTTAATATAGCCATGACTGCCTCCTCCCCTGGCTCTACTGGAGCTGCTACAACTCTGTGTGTTTGTTAATAGCTCTACCTCCTCCCCTGGCTCTACTGGAGCTGCTACAACATATAAAGCAATAAACATTGAAAACAAGTTGAAATGGAAAAACAAAGAAGGCCTTAATGTCTTCCATCTTTCTTCTCCTTAAAAATATGTGATTTCAGACATCAGACTTTTCTATTAACAAAATCTCTGCACCTGTGTCTGTTTAGTTTAAATTTTTTTTTTTATTGTTCACATTGATATGCCTGGAAAGATACCATATATCACTGACCTTTTTCACAGTAATAGACATGGTGGGCTTTTAGAAGTCTTGGTTTAGAGGCAAACATTTCATTTTTTTGGTCACCCGCCCTAAGGGCATCAACTTCTTCTGAACAGCTAATTGGCTTAAGATCTTTAAAAGCCACAAGGTACAAATAATATTAAAACATTGATATAACTTCTGATGAAAAACCAAGAGGTCTGTGGTAATGATATTTGGCTTGTAACATGACTGGGTTAATGATTATCAGGTTTGTTCAAATAAATGGAATTTACTCATTTTCACGACCACAGAGGGGTCAGATATGTATAAAACCATTATCATCTTCTGAATAACCAAGAGGACAAAGGATCATGGCAATGGACCTGTAGCATGTTGGAGGCTGCGGTGGCCAAGTGGTTAAGGCGTCTGACATTCTGCTACCTCTAGCCCTCCACCACATGGGTTTCGGGTTCTAGGCCTATGCGGAGCAGTCGCCAGCCACTGGCCGTAGGTCTGTGGGTTTTCTCTGTGAACTCAGCTTTCCTTCACCATCAAAACCTGGCATGTCCTTAAATGATCATAGCTGTTAATAGTATCAAACACAAACAAACCACATCAAACTGTAGCATGTTGGGCTCTCAGGTTTAATCAAATGAATGACCTTTGATTCAATTTCAAGTTACTGTAATAGGGTTCAAATCTTTTAACTCATTCACCCCTGAAGTTTTATAATTGAGTATATCTTAACAGTTCAATTAACCATCTATGATTACAATTGTACTTGATTTTGCTTACTGTCAATAAAATGTAAATTAAAAATACTGTTTGTTTCACAAATTAAATATATATATGCGAACAGCTCCAGTGGCCACGCCCTATGAAGTAAGCACACAGATACCAGTAGAGATGATCCTGGATTCACCGTCTGACATTCCAGGGGGCAGCACTGGGCTGTTTGGCTGGTTCTCTGGCAACCGAATTGTTTCTAAAGTCATGGAAAAAACAAAGGTATTCATTTTCTTAAAATATGTACATGTGTTTTTATACCCTCATGACAAGTTGGTCAGGGTATATAAGGATCTATCTGGCTTTAGGAATGTGTCTTTGACAGTGTCATCTCTCTGCAAATTCCTTTCTTACCTGGAAAAAGAAATTTGGCATCATTGCTCTATAGACTTTATTTCTAAATCAAAATTTTTGTGGTAAAGGTGTGTTTTGGAACATAATTTTGTCACGGTTAGCTATATTTTCTTAACAATGAACAGGAGAAAGTAAAATAATTCTCACTAAGTTTCTTTTTTTTTTATGTAAGTACTGCATAACAAGTTTTTCAAAACATAACTAAATAATTCATTGCTGTATGTTAGAACGTGTCATATTTTCATGTATAAAATAACATAGAGGTACAGGATTACATCTAGTATTTTATTTATTTTACTTGCAGAATTCTGTGGAAAGTATGATAACCACTCTAGACCCTGGAATGAAAGAGGTTATCAGTAAGTTCTATCACTATATTCTTAAGTATTTCCCTCGCATAAGGAAATCTCACTTAATTGAACTTGCATTACTCGAATACCCCCTGTTCATCAAAAAGTTTGCTTGGTCCGGATCGTGATCCTATATATTCTTGGTACAGTAACCCGGATTACTCGAACTGCCATTGATTGAAATACCCGGTGTTTGTCGAACTACTGTAAAATCATAAATTTTCGAGGGACATTAAATTTCGTTTATTTTGTGGATAACAAAAATCCCCGAAATTAAATCCTCACAAAAACATCAATTTGGTATGGTATAGATAGGGGGAAATCAAAAATCAGCGAAATATAATATCCTTGAAACAGGCTAGTATATGAAAACCACAAAATTTTAACCCCACGAAAATGAATGATTCTACACCTACCGGTGCCATCAACATATGTGCCCATTGCATTTATAGAGGTGTCGGCCAATCGTCAGATAATTAGAGGATTAACAGCAGTATCGTTAAGTACCTGTACCATCACCCTGTTGTAACTGCATTATTTATTATTTTCTGATGATGTTTGACATCAATGTTTTACTGGAGGTGTTTATACACTGGGTGTGTAAAACCATATTTTCGCGTGACAGTATTAAGCAGAAATCATATTCTTAACCATATATAAAGATTCATTAAAACTTCAATATGTTTTTATTGTTATTTTTGTTATTTATCAACATTACAGCAACATAGATTCAACATTTATTTTCTTTGTTTTAATCGAACAGTTCATCTCGTTTTGATAGTTTGTAAAATGTACATAGCCGATACATTATGACGGACTATGCCTACAGGACAAGTATGTTACATATACAGTTCTTTATTTTACTTATGTTGTTAATACAGATGGCTACATGTGTATGTTTTCACTGAAACAGTTTTGTATATAATGAAATGTTGTTATCTTCGTTTAAATTCTTTTTTACTTTCCATCATCTACTCTCCGCAACATTAACAGAGCTTGTGCTGTCTGTCGTCCCACCTGATAAAGCATTACGATGTCAAGCTAACCTCTGATTCGTCGAATATCATGTATTCTTCAAACTATTGATCTGGACCCCACAAGTTTGAGTTAGCAGTGTTTTACGGACCCCACAAGTTTGAGTTAGCAGGTTTTATGGACTCCACCAGTTTGAGTTAGCAGTGTTTTACGGACCCCACAAGTTTGAGTTAGCAGGATTTTACGGACCCCACAAATTTGAGTTAGCAGGGTTTTACGGACCCCACAAGTTTGAGTTAGCAGTGTTTTACGGACCCGTCAAGTTTGAGTTAGCAGGGTTTTACAGACCCTACAAGTTTGAGTTAGCAGGGTTTTACGGACCCCACAAGTTTGAGTTAGCAGGGTTTTATGGACCCCACAAGTTTGAGTTAGCAGGGTTTTACGGACTCCACCAGTTTGAGTTAGCAGGGTTTTACGGACCCCACAAGTTTGAGTTAGCAGGGTTTTATATATCTTTCTCCCATTCCTTTATCAAAGACCCCAAAGGACCAAGTGATCTTATGCTATGGTGTGGCATCCATTGTCCAGCTGTCAAGCGCCAACATTTTACTATAAACAACTTTTCAATATCCAATAGGCCTAGGGTGATGATGATTGGTTAATACCCTGCCTGGGTAAAGAGCTATCAAGTTTGTTGACCCTGTTCCACTTATAAGATCACATGGGTCAAATGTTTAAATTAAGTTTTTAAAATAGTTTCTTCATAATAACCAAAAATTACCACGGCAGTGATATTCTTAATCGTTGGGTAAAATCTGTCTCCTGACATAATTCAGTTAGCTATACCTGATCAATTATTTTGTTCTTTAGATCATCAGAGAGTCTTTATGTATGTGTTTGAAATTTGAAGTCCAACAGTTGCCCTCACACCTTCCTGAGCTGGTTGGAACATTCTAAACATAATTGACTGTAATATATAAGTAAGATGTATCAATAATAGGGTACAATGATAAACAATTACTTTCTTATTATGTAGTTGATTAAATAAACAGCACCTGGTTGATTAAATAAATAGCACCTGGTTGATTAAATAAGCAACAACTAGTTGATTAAATAAATAGCACCTGGTTGATTAAATAAACAACATCTGGTTGATTAAATAAGCAACAACTAGTTGATTAAATAAACCCCATCTGGTTGATTAAATAAACAACATCTGGTTGATTAAATAAACAGCACCTGGTTGATTTAATAAGACTGCACCTAGTTGATTAAATAGACCGCACCTGGTTGATTAAATAGACTGCATCTGGTTGATTAAATATACCGCACCTGATTGATTAAATAGACCGCATTTGGTTGATTAAATAGACCGCATCTGGTTGATTAAATAGACCGCACCTGGTTGATTAAATGAACAACATCTGGTTGATTAAATAGACTGCATCTGGTTGATTAAATGAACAACATCTGGTTGATTTAATAAGACTGCACCTAGTTGATTAAATAGACCGCACCTGGTTGATTAAATAGACCGCATCTGGTTGATTAAATATACCGCACCTGGTTAATTAAACAGACCGCTCCTGGTTGATTAAATAGACCGCACCTGGTTGATTAAATGAACAACATCTGGTTGATTAAATAGACCGCATCTGGTTGATTAAATATACCGCACCTGGTTAATTAAACAGACCGCTCCTGGTTGATTAAATAGACCGCACCTGGTTGATTAAATAAACAACATCTGGTTGATTAAATAGACTGCATCTGGATGATTAAATGAACAACATCTGGTTGTTTTAATAAGACTGCACCTAGTTGATGAGATAGACCGCACCTGGTTGATTAAATAAACAACAACGGGTTGATTAAATAAATCGTACCTGGTTGATTAAATAGACTGCACCTGGTGGATTAAATAAACAAAAACTGGTTGATTAAATAGACCGCACCTTGTTGATTAAATGAACAACATCTGGTTGATTTAATAAGACTGCACCTAGTTGATGAGATAGACCGCACCTGGTTGATTAAATATACCGCACCTGGTTGATTAAATAAACAATGTCTGGTGTTTGAATAGACCGCACCTGGTTGAGAAAAATAAACAGCAACTTGTTGCTTAAATAAACTGCCCCTGGTTGAGAAAAATAAACAGCAACTTGTTGCTTAAATAAACTGCACCTGGTTGAGAAAAATAAACAGCAACTTGTTGCTTAAATAAACTGCCCCTGGTTGAGAAAAATAAACAGCAACTTGTTGATTAAATAAACTGCACCTGGTTGATTAAATAAATTGCATCTGGTTGATTAAATAAACTGCATCTGGTTGATTGAATAAACAGCACCTGGTTGATTAAATAAACAACAACTGGTTGATTAAATAAATCGTACCTGGTTGATTAAATAGACTGCACCTGATGGATTAAATAAACAAAAACTGGTTGATTAAATAGACCGCACCTGGTTGATTAAATAAATCGTACCTGGTTGATTAAATAGACCGCATCTGGTTGATTAAATAAATCGTACCTGGTTGATTAAATAAACAGCATCTGGTTGATTAGATAAACTGCATGGTATGTGCATTTTACTCAGATAAATTATTATATTTAATCATATTAATATTTGTGAGTACATAAACAGCTTTATTTAGGGCCATTTTGGGGGTGATATCGGTATTATTTAACAAAATCTCGTAAAAATTTCAATCTTAAATTCTAATAGTCATAATTGATGACATCAATACATGATACATATTTAAATGTTTTTTTCACAGGAAAATTTACAAAAACATGTGTTTAATTAAATTGTTAATATCAAGGTAGTTACCAAGTCTTATTTGCCAGTATACGTGTGATATCATTGAGTAGAGAAGACCCATGCTAATTAAATGTCAAATCCCTGATAATGTCATCAGTTTGACATATTGGGACATACACCCAGTGGAGGGAGATCACCCACATTGGTGTTTCTGGAGAAGGTTAGCCCTGAGTCAATGATAGTTAGGATATTTTGAAAAAACAATTAATGAGCAAATGACCGTCAGTAAGCTAGTCAATTTGGTTCATTTAAAAAAATGGCAATCTCCTACTACATTTTTCGACCGATCTCTTTGAAACTTGGTATACATTATAATCATGATATGAAGTTGTGTCTCCCTTAAAAGAATTTTGATTCAACAATTTTTTCCAAAAGTTATTGCCCTTTGTTCATTTCAGTTTTTGATTTTTGTCCGGAGATCCCCTCCTACATTTTTTGACGGAATTCTTTGAAACTTAGTAGGCTAAAAAATCATGATATGTTGTTGTGTTTCCTTGAAAAAAAATTTGATTCAACAATTTTTGCAAAAGTTATTGTCCTTTGTTTTTTTTCAGTATTTGATTTTTGTCCAGCAATCTCCTCCTACATTTTTTAACGGATCTCTTAGAAACTTGGTATACATTGTAATCACAATACGAAGTTGTGTCTCCCTTAAAAGAATTTTGATTCAACGAGTTTTTGCCCTTTGTTCATTTCAGTATTTGATTTTTTTGTCCGGAGATTTTCTCCTACAATTAATATAGCATGTCATCTAACCACTTTTAGAATGATGCAGATCTCTTTTCAAGGTAAGAAAGTATATAACACTATTTGGCATTCAACGGGCATATATTGTTCCGCCCTGCGGTACTCTTGTTTTCTCATGGAAACTACCAAAATCATCAGCACAACATCTTTTCGTGTGTGGGCGTATCTCGTATACTTTGTCACCTACAAGTACTAATTTTGCGAGTACCTCTTGGGATAGTGGAGTGTTGCATACCAAGTTGGGTCTCAAGGCCAACTAAATACAGAGTTATGGCCCTTTGTTTACTGTGCATCACTTTGTCCAGGACAAATCACATACTCTATACTCTGTGATCTGCCATTGTCAAATTTTGCATGTGAGTACCACTTATGATAGCAGAGTGTTATATATATACTGAAATCAGGTTTTTTGAACCACTGTTTATGCAGATTTTTGGCTCATTGCTTATTTTGATACCAGGGTTTGTCTGGAGGTGCACGACTATAGGTTGCTGGAAATACTCTGCCTTGTTGATTTTACACTTTGTTCAAATGATTTTTGTCAAGAAATTGTAAAAAAAAAATCCAAGCCTTATAAGATACATATAAGTATGGCTAACACTTAGTCAAACAACTGTTAACTATACCACTGCTTATGTGTTCAGTTTGATTGACTAAAAGTCAACATCTAGTTATTTAGTAAATTGCAATAAGATTGCACCATACAACTTTAGCAAAGTTAAATTTCTGACTACTAAAAAGCATGGAAAAAAAGCATGGAATAGTACTTGATATTTTTTACTAAAGGCAGGGTTAACATGTGTTTGAAGTTTTTACTGTGAATTGAATTGCAGGGTCTGGAGGAGATGTCATGGTAGTTGTGACTTCAACAAAGGAGACCAAAGTAGGAGCAGTGCGAGAGGCGTTCCAGACAGTGTTTGGGCATGCAACAGTCATAGGAGTGGTAAAATAATATTTCACAAAATATGACATAAGACCCAACCTTTTAGACCACTTTAATTTGGGTTCTAACTATTCAGGAAACTCACTTGGAGGACACGCATGTCATACTGAGCAAGTGATTTTTTTTGAGTGTCAAAGGTTTATACTATACTCCTGAAAAACTTTTAAAGTTATTAGTCATTAAAAATACAAATATACTTTAGTGTTTTTGGTGGTATGTATTTTGGGATGTACTCTTTCATTTTCTTTAATGATTTGTTATTTGAGCTAATGTCATGACGTAGCGTCAGTCATCCGTCCGTACGTTGTTGTTCATCAAATTTTCCTTTAAATGACTTCGTCTGGAGAACGGACAGGCCAAGATTCATGATATTTGGCTGAAAGCTTGGTTGGTGAGAGCCCGATAAACTAAAAGAACAAAAATGACCTTGACATACTATCAAGGTCACAGGGGTCAATTGTGTCAAACACTTCAAACGACTTCTCCTGAAGAACTGAAAGTTATAGAATCATAATATTTGGCTGGAGGCTTCTTGGGATAGAGCTCACCAAAGTTTGCAATTGAAGATGACCTCAACCTACTTTTGATAACACAGAGGTCAACAACACTTCAAACAACTTGTTCTGAAGATATAAAAGGCATGGATTCATAAGATTTGGCATGTAGCTACTTGGGATAGAGTCAACAAAGAAGGAAAATGACCTTGACCTACTTTTAAGGTCACAGGGACGAATATGTCAAACACTTCAAATGACTGCTAAAGAAGAACTGATAAGCATAGAGTCATATAACAATTTTTGTGGCTGATAGCTTTAACAGATGGAGTCGACAAAGTTTGTGATTGCAATATTTGTATTATAGTATAATATTTAATGAGAATATTTTGCTATGACTCCTTAAATATCAAGGTGAGCTATACAGGTCCGTTGGGCCTCTTGTTATATTGGCTCTTCGAAATTAGGTTTGAGATTGCATAAAAGATGCTGGCTAATTGTTTTTAAAGTATCTCAAGTTTCTTTAATATCGATCCTAAATGTGCATACAGGATCAGTGCGTCAAATATGGCTATAATAATTTCTATAATAGCCAATAATCAATCTTTCTTCTTTTAATTATTGAATATGTTTGATGTTTTATTTGACATGATAGTGCATGGTTTTTAACTGATAAGCTTCAATAAAAAATATAATGCATTGTTTTCTTATAATACATTAACCTTTGTGCATAATAAATTTAATGAAAATTAAAGTTTCTTTAATATCGATCCTAAATGTGCATACAGGATCAGTGCTTCAAATATGGCTTTAATAATTTCTATAATAGCCAATAATCAATCTTTCTTCTTTTAATTATTGAATATGTTTGATGTTTTATTTGACATGATAGTGCATGGTTTTTAACTGATAAGCTTCAATAAAAAATATAATGCATTGTTTTCTTATAATACATTAACCTTTGTGCATAATAAATTTAATGAAAATGTGAAGATGTTTAATATGTTTACAACCATTTGTTTTTTCAAGATAGCTCAAATGCTCATCTGAATTCTTTGATGTTTTAGGAAAGCCAAGCTAACACGGCAGCTCAGCCTGTAGGGTTCACTGCTGGTCTTAAAGGGGCTGAGGAACGGATACAGAACTTACGCCATAAAGGATCACTTCCAGAAAGCCATCCTGTGATATCTGTGGAGGGATTTATTGTGGAGATGCTACCTGACAGGTCAGTCTGTCTAACAGATAGATCAGTGTGGTGTTGTGATTGGTCAGTCTGTCTAACAGATAAGTCAGTATGGTGTTGTGATTGGTCAGTCTGTGTGATAGATAAGTCAGTGTGGTGTTGTGATTGGTCAGTCTGT